ACAGTATAAATTGTACATATGTGTCATGAACTGTAAAGCCAGGGAATAATTAAAATAATGTAAGGGTAGTCAGGGAAGGTTTCTTAGCTTAAACCAGTTTTTGCCTGTTGCTTGAAGGAAGTGGTGGATAGTGATTAGCAAAAAGGGCAAGGGGCCCAATATGAAGAAGGACTTCTATTATGAACTGGAGTGCTTGCTGGGTATTGAGGTAGACAAAGATAGAGAGAGAAAGATGTAGGATTTACAAAAGGCTTGGGACATGAGGAGTTGGGATTTATAAGGGGCCAGGCCACCTTCATAGTTTGAATGAGCTGCTTTTTCTATTTGATGTGTTTGTTCCTATTGGAGTTATTTCCAACACAGAGTCTGATTTCTTTACTGTTTGCTATCCATTTCCTTTTTATCATGCAGAAATCATCCATTGCCATGACAACATAATGCAATCAGAGAACTGTAGCAGCTATATTTTCTATATTCAGGAGTGGTGTGATATCAAGGCCATTTAAACAAACCTCTCTGTTACCCTCTCCCTATCTCTGTCTTACTTTTATTAAACTAACTCATAATGGAATTGATAAACCATCAACAATAATTAGTTACAGTGGTAGAGTGAATCCCAATAAATGTCAACATATGTAAGTCTAATGAACTCTCAGCTGTAGTCTCAAATATTTATGTGCTTTAAAAAATCAGTTCTTTAATATCTTCATATTTGACTTATATTTTATATGCAAGTAAAGTATAAGTAGGAATTTCTTGGATTTAAAATGGACTGAAAATAAAGCTAGGAAACTGAGTCATTGAGACTTTTCCCAAGCTCTGAATATTTACATGTTTCATGCAAATCTGAAAAAATGTATAATATACTTATGGTTGAGTATTCTAAATACTCAAATTAAGTCAAAGCATAATATAAACATACTTTACACATATATAAAGGAATATATGTAATATATAGATACTCAATCAGGTAAATTCCAATTTGCCTCACTGAATTTAGTTAACTCGTACTTTGGTTCTTTTCTGAATCTGTGGTCTCATTGGTGTAGGTACTTCTTCCAGCAGGGTAACTCAACACCCACCCATGTGTGACTCTGGTTTGTCCCCTCATAAGTCCTCTGCAAGGGGTTCCACCTAACATCCTGGAGGCTGGCTCTTGATGTCTTGATTTTATGTAGATACCAGTATAGCACTCAGGATATCCATCAAGTGGTATCTTTCACTCTTGTTCTGGACCACTAGACCACCTCATTTTAAAGTCATACATCTGATAACCTTTAAGGCATTTCTGTAGCTTCTCATTGGTAATATGCTGCACCCTACTCTCCTCTGCTCTCTCTGCCTATGGGTGACCTGCCACTTTAATTTCTCAGAGACTGTGGTATGCCATATTTCATAGCCTTAAGAGACTAAAAATGTTACCTTCACTGTAGGCAAGCAGCCTTTGGGTTGAGGGACACTTCTACTTCAAACAGAGAGAAAGGGAATTTCAGGTGTTTGAAGAGCTTATTGGGTATATTCTTTAACAGGTTGTAACAACAACATGATTTTATTTTAATCTATCCTAGACCTCATGCAAAACATTTCTTATAAAAAATTCTTAGCATTGAAAGTGACTTTATTTAGTCCATTCTCTCACCCCATGTAGAAATCAGCTCTTCTGTTTTCAAATTCATATTCAGTAAGCATTTTTATTCCATCCACTATGTACTAGGTATCGTACTGGGTGCAAGGGATACAAAGAAAGAAAAACAATTTTCTAGCCTCCAGGGACTTAATTCTATTGGGGAAACGGAATATGTTCACAGTTAAGTAAATTCAAAATAGACACAAAGGCATTTCAGGGAGGGGAGAGTTGCTAATCAGAAAAAGGCCCAATATAGGAGGTGATACTTGAGCTGAGCTTCGAAAGAATCTCAAATATTTCAAGAGGTGGTCACGAGAAGGGAGAGCGTTCCAGCCAAGTAGGACATGGTCCACACAGTCACTGAGGCCAAAGATGGCATATCCTAGATAGAGCATTGAAACTGGCCAGTTTGATGAGAATAGAGAGCATGTGAGGGGGACTGATGGGAAATCAGTCTGGAAGATAAATTGAAGCCATATTGTCAAGAGTTTTACATCCCAAACAGCGGTTTGCATTTTATCTGAAGGCATTAGGGATCCACTGAAGTGACTTGACCAGAGGAGTGCATGGTCAGAACTGTGCTTTACAAGTACCACTTGGGCAGCCATGTGTGGAGGATGGGTTTGAGAAGAAAGAGGCTGGAAACAGATGCTAATTAGGAAAATTTTGCAGTAATCCAGGTAAGAGGTGAATGAAAACCTGAATTAGGCTGAAAGAGTAGAGAGAAGAGGACGGAGTTGGGAAATGTTATCAAGGTTTGGGAGCTGTTTGAGCATGGGAGTCAAGGGAAGAGTGAAGAATCAAGAATGACTCTAAGGTTATGAACCTGGGTGACCGGGAGGAAAGGCCTTTGTCAGAAATAGGAAAGTTAGAAAGGCACTCACCCTCTGCTTGAATACTTAGAGTGATGTGGAACCTCACTTTTATTCCACTGTTGGATAGACAGAAAGTTTTCCTTTATATTGAGTTGAGGTCTGCCTCCCTGTAATTTACAAATTCAGGTGGGTGATGCTAGATATGCCCAATTTGAATGCCATTTGAGGTCAATTTGTCTGTACAATCACTGTGTCCCATTTTGGGATTTGCCTGCAATGTGTACATATTTTACTATAGTAATCAAAACTACAAAAAAAAGTCAACATTTTCTCTCTGTCTGCCGGTGATATGTTCCTCAAAAGTTAGCATGGTATGAAAGAGAGAGCACTGACCCTGGGGTCAGAGAATGTGGGTTCAAATCCCATCTCTGATACTACTCTGTATGACTTTGAGCAAGTCCCTTAAGCTCCCTGGGTCTCAATTTACTCATGTGTAAAATGAAGGATTGGACTGGATGGCCTGTGGGGGGCCTTCCAGCTCTGGAGCTGCAATCCTATGAATGATTATGTGTAATCATGTTTTAAATGCGCTACAAATATTTTTAAGGAACCCAACTGTGAACTCTGTAAATGTGAATAATACCCCTCCATACATACGCGTGCACACACACACACATGCACACGCACACACAGTTTTATGTATGACTCTTCAAGAAAGATCACTTATACAACATTGTGCCTATCAAGCAGAATGCATTTTTATTTTGTTTCATTTCAGTGTGAATCAGTGTGCTTGTGTTTGCTTCGGTAATTATCAGAGGACTTTGTGGCCTTGTCGGGGTCCTCCAGCCTTTGATGGACATGTTCTTCCACTGACACAAGTACCCAACAGATAGCTCAGAAGGTATTGTCCAGGACCTAGTTGTCACTGACCTTGTGGCCCAGAAGCCATCCTAGTTTAAAATCCCTTTTGTTTCCTTGCTGGAGGAGGCAGCCTTCAGCTTAATTTTATATACAAGAATTTTGCAGGGAACACAGATCCAAGAAAGCTGCCCAGGAATACAAGATTCTGTCCAATGCTGGAGCCTTGCTGCTCTGCCATGAAGAAACCTCGCCAGGTTTTCTGCTTTCCCTCTTGTTAAAACCATCAGCCGGCTCTGCAACCACAGTATAAGGGCTATTCTAAAAACACAAGCCCAGAGGTTCTGAGTCTCCCTTGTTTTTTCTGCTACCTACAGGTAGCCTCAGAATGGAGAGGGGGTTTTGGCTACAGTTACTGCCTTCCTACTCCCACAATTCAATTGCCAGGATTGTGGAAACAAAAGTACAGGGGAGGGGACACGCCAGGTATGCCTGTGTGCACAGAGGAACCACAGAATCACATGTCTCACCCTTCTCTTGCAGTGGTCAACACAGAATCAGCCCTGTTTGCTGGAAGCCCTTGAAACTTGATGGTTTTTCATTTCAGAAGTTACTTTCCAGAGAAATGTACTGTGGATGAGCATTGGGGAGATAGGGCTCCTATGCTGGGCTCAGCCTATGCCATCTTCAGTTTCACCTTTCCCTTTTTCCCATCATAGCCTGCCTATCCAAGCAGAGCGTCTAGTGGGGGAAGCTCCACTCCCTACTCATTGCTTACATGCAGGGAAGATCCCCACCCTCTCCTCTAACCCTAAATCCTTGTAAGGCCTAGATTTACCACCCTCCTTTGGGCACTCTGCATATACATAAACGGCCATTTGAAAACATGGCATGATTTCTAGTAGGCACCAAGGTATACCATGAGATGCATAAAGCTGAGATGTACTTTTATGTCCATTTTTATCCTGAATCTCTTGCCAAATTCCCCATTGCCCTCAATGGCAAAATGTCAAGTGTTCTTACAGCTGAAGCCTCAACCCATCATCCTCTCTTATGCTTAAGTTCCTAAATCTAGCATCACTTTTCATTCCTCTCTTTCCAAACCTTCTCTCCTAGCTCTGGGCACTCACTCTGCCTGCAGCAGGTCTTGCTGATTATTTGCTCCATAACCTCTTTCATGTGAAGCAGCCCAGCGTAGAGCAGAGAGCTGCCTCCATCATGGACGCTTGGTTTGAGTCCTGCCTTGACACATCCTGGCTTGGTGACCCTGAGCAAGTCACTTTAGCTTTTTTGGCTGCCTGTCATCCCATTGTTGATTCACATTGAGCTTGCAGTCCACTAAAACCCCCAGATCTTTTTCCTATAAATGTTATTTAGCCACACCTCCCCCTATCTTGTATGGAGTTGATTTTTTTGGACCCAAGTATAAAATTTTACATATTACTATTAACTTTCATCTTACTAATTTGATCCATTGTTCTAGCCTGTAAAGATTTTTTTTTAATCCTAAGTGTTTCTGCATACAGTCTCCCCCATTAAGTTCCACATTCTCTGAGGGTAGGAAGTATGTCTCCGTAATTTGTATTCTGCCTCCCCTACACTTCCATCCAGGAGGAGCTTCATAATCATTGATGATAGAATTTTTTATTTTGCAGCCTTTCTCATGGCACCTATTCTTTTCCTCCTTGTGTTTTCAGCACTCTCTCCAAACAAAGAAAAAATGTCATCAGCTGTGTCACGGTTCATGACTCTCCTTACTCTGATTCCTCCAGCAACAACAGCCCCTACACCATGCAGCATCGAGCAGGCCACAGCAATGCAAACAGCTATGACCCCAAGGGGGCGCTGGAGAGCCACTGCAGCGGGAATCCTCGAACTATTATTGTGCCACCCCTGAAAACCCAGGCCAGCGAAGTGTTGGTGGAGTGTGAGAGCCTAGTACCAGGTAATGTGGGGCAGGCCAGGAAATCTCCCTGAAGGTTACAGACTGTATGTGAAGTCTGGGGTAGCTTCAGTTCTCTCTTCAGCTAGATGACCAAAATGGGAAATGGGGAAGAGGGCAAAGTGTGGCTGGAGAGAGAGAATCGCGAGGCAGAGAGAGTACAGAAAAGTACTCGTGGAACACCCAAGACTTCGGACTCATTTGATGAGTCAGTCAGACCTCATTCATTTGGAACCCACGAATTTGAAACTTATGCTACCTAGGAACTTCAACTGAAGCGTACTCTTGAGCCATCTGTGAAAAGGGTTTGCTAAGGAAATTAAGAGGCATCAGCAGAATTATAAAGACATTGTTTAACTTACTAATGATAAACTTTTCATACACCAGGAAATGTTGATAGCATGGCTTTATAGATAATTAATATGCATATTACCCATAATTCTTATCTATTCAGCAAAATAGGCAAGTTGGAATTCTATCTTAGGAAAACTTGCTATATGAAGTTAAAACTGTAGGTTTCTAAAAATACTTTTATAATTCAGACCACTATTTCAGACTCTTCTTCCTTCTATTTATTCCAAATTAGTGAGGTTTGACTACACTAATTAATGCAAAACAAGAGTAACTCAGTACAGTGGGATACAATGGTGAGGGTGGGAGTAGCTGAATATTTCCATCACCAAGCAGTGTTCTTCACAAGTAAGCACCAGATCTCATGCAGTGGGTTTCCAAAGGGAACATGAGACTGCTTAGGGGTGTTTGTAGCTTAAAGACAGCGAAACAAGATCTTCAAGGCCCAGGTAAGTGAAGGCAAAATAGAGCCAGATGCTTTCCTACTTTAAACCTGCTTTGGAAGGAAAGGGTCACAACAAAGATTGCCTCTTGTTTTCACGCTTCTGTTTTAGGGAGGTTTTTTATCATGACGTGAAGGTAAATAGGGACTCCACTGTGTCGAAATAGAAAAAAAAAGTGCCTGGGGAAAGTAAAGCTAAGTCAGGTACTCAAAGGAAGCCAGTATTCCTTTCAGTTTACCTCAAAGAAACAAGTAGGCAGATAGCTAGACACATCAAGTTTTAGAGCTGGGTGGGATCTTAGAATTATCTGCTGCTCCCCCTTCAGTATATAATTTCCAAGGTTGATTGTTGTAAGGAGAATAATGACCAGTTGATCTTCATGTGTCTTCATTGGAAGCAACCACAGAGATCAATTACTTATATTCTACCCCATTGTTTTACAGATGGGGAAAGTGAGGCTCAAAGGATAATTAGTAGGAAGAGGTTATAAATTACGGGAAGGCTTTTATTTAGACATGAAAAGTAACTGAATCATAAAGAATTTTCTGTTAGGATTGACTTTGAAACATACTGTTGTGGAAGACTCTGGAATCCGTTTGATCTCAAATGATTCAGTTACCATCACTCCAAGAGATAGATATGTAGAGAAATATTCATTAGCGGTTGAAGTTCTAGGGTGGTGGTTGTTGTTTGTTTGTTTGTTTGTTTTTCCTAGCCCATTGATTTCCAAAGTCTACAATGGACCAATCTCATTTTTGAGAGAGTGCACTTCTGCACGTTGTCCACATGATATGCTGCCTCTCCTAAACAACCAGACTCAGCTACCTGAGCTTGCTGATGGCTTCCATTTTTTATCCCAGAAGGAACGGATGGTCATTTTGTACTTGAAGTATGCTATGATAGAAAAAGTGGTAGATTTGGAGGCAGAGCATCTGGGTTCAATCCCGGCTCTGCCACTTCCTGCCTTATATTGATGGTTGGCAAGTTATTTAACATCAAAAGGAGGGATTAAACCAGATAACCTCTGAGGTCCCTTCCAGCCCCAAATATGGGGTCCTGTGAAGGAGAAATACAAATTGGCCTATACTGAGATTTACTGAACCTGGCTGGCTTCTGAGCTCTTGTCCTTCTCTCAAATTGTAGCATTCTGGACTTACAGATAGCACTTATTATCAACCGCCTTGATTGACCACCCACTGTGTGCAGTGTCCTCTGTGCGCATGCTGAGTGACTAACGTAAGGCTGTGTGTTTTTCCACACTCTAGTTAGATATAACTGCGTGGTCATAACTCTAAACTATGACACATCCATAGCCTGTTTTAAAATCCCTTATCTAGGCTTTAGAATGGGGCTGACGTTTAGCTCAGCACAAAGGGTAAGGCAGTAATCAATTTCTCTGGTATCAGATAGTGACAAGAATTTTGGCTTTTGCTTTGTCATCTAAGGTGATTTTACAAAAAATATGCTTTTTTTCCCCCAAGTCCCAGCACATCTTGGGGCTGTACATCTAGAGCTGGAAGGAACCTTAGAGGGAATCTAGTCTAATCCTCCCATTTTATAGGTGAGGAACCTGGGACCCAGAGAAGCTAAATGGCTCGCAGAAGATTGCATGGGTAGTAAGTTAGGGCAACATTTATTTAAGGCATTAAAAAAAAGCATTAGGTTTGGGTTATGATATTCCGATGTCTACAATCTATTCATATGCTAATTAAACCTGATTTGGGGAGAAATCTTATCAACCTTAGGTTTAACATCTTCTCCATCTCTTTTCTGATGTCCTTCCAATAAAATGTTCCCTTTATCTTACCTGACATATTTACAGGAACCATTTAAAATTTTTTTTTGATATTTAAGTAGTTATATAAGTAACTCCATACTTATGATGAAATCACTTTCTTTTCTGTTTATTCCTTAATCACATAGGGACCTCCTTTTTTTTTTTTTTTTTTTTGTCGAGGCAATGGGGTTAAGTGACTAGCTTAGGGTCCCACAGCTAGTAAGTGTTATGTGTCTGAGGCTGGATTTGAACTCAGGTCCTCCTACTCCAGGGCCAGTGCTCTATCCACTGCACCACCTAGCTGCCCCCCCCTCTTTTTCTGGTGGGGGGAACTCCTCCTATGCAATCTTTAGCTTACTCTTGACCAGGGACAAGAGAACTATTGCCATAACTCTCATTTAGACAGCTTTAAAGATGGCATCTGTAAATTCTTTATCTGAAATAATTTCTCCAAGAAGGCAGTTACTAACTGAAATCAGCTTAAAAGGCTATTTATTTAACAAATAATTAGATACAAAATTAAATCAGATGGTCCACATGAAAAAGAGGAGATACGGAGGCTGCCCTAACCCATTCTCTGCTTCAGCCCCAAGTAAAGGATATAGAACATCCTGCTTTGAGTTGATGGAAGACAGACTTGGGGTTTTTAAGCTACACAGGCAGAGACGTGATCTCACGTCCTCTGGAAGAGAAAAGGAAACTCTCCTAACAAGAAGCTAGAGAGACAGGAAGAAATCTCAACTGACTCCTTTCATTTCATTGGTTTAGAAACAATCTGGTTCTTGTCACTAGGGAGAAGAAAGCTCGAATTTTGGAGAGTCAAGCAGAAGTGGCTGAGGGAGACTAATTCCAAATTAAGGCTCAAGTTGAATTATCAAGGTTAGCATTCCATCAGTCTGAATATGAGAGGGGGCACAAAGAAAAACTTAGAAAAATTGAAAAAAAAATGTAAATACAGTCATCACTTGGTTGTTATTTGGGGTTTTCCATTGCTCTCAAGTAGTGTTTAAATTTAGTCTTTATTAGAAGTCTGTTTAGCTCTTTTGATATTTTATATTAAAAGGCATAGAAATTCATAGCTTTGAATCTGAGAGGCATGAGCAAAAAGGCCAGTCACAGGGAAAGTGTGCAACTTGCAGCTGAAACCATGAGAAGGTGAAATGAAACGTGAAAACATGAAAATGTTCCTGCAGCTGAAGCCACAGAAGCCTCCACCCAGAGAGCACTCCCCTCAGAGTTCCCTTCTTTTTCATCAGGTCTATCCACTTCCAAATAGCAGCCCAGAGGGTGGAGTACTTAGCACAGTGATTGCATGAAGAAAATGCCCAGTTTAATTTAAGCAAAACTGGCAGACAGGTATAAAACTACTCAAGAAGGGTTCGTGTTTCTTGCTTTATATAAAAAACTGAAAGGCTTGGATTGGTCCTGACCAGTGCTCCTGACAGTTTATTTGGAGGTTTTTTGGTTTGTTTAAGGTGCAGATAGATGATGCCAATAAGCAACAAACTAAAATGCTGATATATATGTGAGCATTTAGTTGGTTAGAGGCTTGGTTTGCTTATTTGCCCAAGTGAATCTCTTCAATGGTAAAATTGCGAGTAGTATGATAGAAATTTAGGACAAGGGACCATCTATTAATTAACAGCTTTAAAGCTTACTCTGGAAAAAGATAAGAGATCTACAAATGCCAGTGTAGAAAATCAAATTAGGCCTCAGATACATGACACTCACTAGCTGTGTGACTCTGGGTAAGTCACTTCACCCCAATTGCCTCACACAAAAAAAAAAAAAGAAAAAGAAAAGGGAAATCAAATTAAATCCTCAAAAGAATCATGTGAGATAAATATATTGTATAAGTATATTACCCCCATTTTATAGATGAACAAACAGAGGCTCAAGGAGGTTGTAACTTCTACTAATCAGAAGTAAGTTACCAACGAGTATAAAGAATCTACAGAAGAAAAAGATAAGATCCTGCTGAATATTAGCTACTAGAACTTGTTTCCTTGATCTGTGTTCAAACCTAATATTTTTTTCATGGGTTAATGTAGCAAGAGCAAGAAATAGCCTATATAGTATAGGTACACACATAAAGTTGAGATCTAGAGGAAAGTAAAAGTCTCAGCATGTTGCATGGAGGATTCATTGGAGAACACAAGTAGTCAGAGGATGAGAAGGCAAAGATGTGAGTGGGTTGCACCTTATGCCACTGGAGGGAGTATCCACACAGAGAGATCACAGGTCTGTTGAAGTACTGAATTATACTTACTGGCGTTTTTGTGGCTGCTTGAAGTGGGAGTGGGACCATAAGAATAGGAGAAGAAGAAGGACCTGAGAGAATAGCAAGGACAATAGATACAGGTACAGAGGAAAAAGAAAGCCCACAGTGTCCCTCGTCGTCTGCCATGGCAAATGGAATAAAGGAGAAATGG